ATTCAAAGATGACTTAGGGAAAAAACCTCTTCACTGAATCAATTTCTATTCAGTTTGAATCATTCTGCATCAAACAACCGTTGATCGAAAAACTTTTGTAATACTTTCAGAGTGGTTTCAGATTTAAGACGTTTTCGCGCAAGGTCGTGGGTATCACAAACACATATGCGCTACTTCCATCAGACTTCACAATTTCCTGTGAAATTTCAGAAAATGATCAAACATTTCGGTAAAACCTAAAGAATGTCACCAACTTATATCAAATTTCGCCACAATTTTCAGTTTGCGACTACACAAAAGCAAGATTACCGAATGTTTTCGGTTGTCATGTAACTATCGCCGATAATTTAAGTAAATGTTTTTCTGATACTCAACAAAGTCAGAACTAATTGTTTTGCATTCCTCAACAGCTCATATAAAAAAGTTAAATGATGAATTTTGAATATAGGTAATCATCGAAACAAACTTAGCTTTCCTCAATTTCCTTTGGAAGAACTTTGAATATGGGAAATTTCGGTTTCATGAAATTCTACCCTATTCCAATCTACCCTGTGCTAATCTACCCTATACTATTCTATCCTACATACCAATCTACCCTATTGAGATCGTGCTTAGTTTCGTACAATCGCTTTAGGCCCACTTCGTTCATTTTCCGGTTGAGCGCTTGACATAAATGAAAATAGAAGCCTTTCAACGACGCTCCGGTATCAGGACTAGCGAAAACGTTTAGTGCTGCACGTTCAAAATCGAGGAGAACGCGGTGAGGCTCGGTGTTTTCGGTGATGGCTGATAATCCCTTCAGTAGCTTTTTGTGTGCTCTGTTTTGTTTGGTAACAGTGCATAAATGCACGGGGGTTAAAATCCAGCGAGTTGAATGTGGATGGTGTAAAGTTGATAAAATTGAATAGTGCAAACTTTGAATGTTCCATTACACAGCCAAACATCTCGATGTAATATCAAACTCTGGATATTGTCGCGATCTCCAAAAATCAACACCCTTTCTGGACCTTCAATGCCGCTATCGAAGACGCAAAAATCTTCGTGTTGCTTTGGTACTTTAAAATGTCTGTCGATAATTGGAGGCAATGTGGGTCTCTCATTTGCCTTCTGTCGATTTCGGGCCCGATTAATCGCCGACCGGCAAGGAAGAGCTAATTGAACGGCTTTTTCTTCGGATACAGACTGCAGGCCGTTTGCTATAATTATGCTATTGACTGGAAATTGCTGAACTTTTGTGTCCTGTTTCATTTTCTGCACGATAAGCCTTGCATCTGAACGACAAGGAAACACTTCGTGAGTGTGTTCATTTCTACAGGAGATAAGATCGTTATCTCGGGTTATTGCTGTTGTTTTGCATTTATGGGACCCCCATATTAAACACTTCCAGTGAATGTTTCCATTCTTTGGTTCCTGTTTTTTTTTTTGTAAACTCGTGGCCACCGATTACAAGCGTTCTCCGATTCTGTTGGGATAGACCCCAAGAAAATTGACTCATTTTGGTAAATGTTATTCGAAGGAAAATTGATATAATGACGTAGTTTTGGTTTCATTTTTGTACGTGATATTGAAAATTGGGGATGAAAACCTGTTAATTGAGACAAATTTCAGACTTCGAGGCTAAAAATGCTATCTAGTCTTTAGAACAATTTCCTTGAGTGGAAGACTCAAATTGAGTCCAAAAATTTAGACTCAAATGAATTAACACGTGCTGTTATCTTTCCGATTCTAATTATGACTTTGAAAGGCTACATTAATTATGCGCCAAATCGACACAGGTTAAACTGGTATTTAGGGCAGATTAGTATAGGGTTGATTGGTATAGGGTAGATTGATATGCAGGGTATAATGGCATAGGGTAGAATGGTATAGGGTAGTTTGGAATAGGGTAGATTGTCCTGCCACCGAAATTTCACCGTGCATAAATTACTCTCTTTTGCAATTTTCAAACCGCAGATTGCAGGTTAAATTGCTTTCATTTTTGATTTCACAGTGCCAATATATTCATTGGGGAGCATACACATTGTTTTTAACAACTACGATTTTTATTGCCCCAAGTGATCCAAAAAAACTACCACAAATATAATTCTTATAATAATCCAAGTATTTCAACTTGAGTCTTGTTAAAAGATAATTAAGTCTTATACACTAAAGGGACCAAAGTGAAGAAATCACAAACCAAATCTACCAGGGGCGGATCTAGGATATTCTCGAGGGGAGGGGGCAGATTTTCAAAAAAAAAATTGGAAAAAAAAAAATTTTTTAGGTTGACCAAAATGATTTTCTGAGATCTCCCAAATCATTAAAAAGACCGCATTTTGACCCAAATTTGTAAGCCGCGGGCAATTTTTGAAAAAACAGGCCTAAAATGCGTTTTTAGACACTTTTTGGAAAATTTTGACCAAAAAATCGCGTTGTCTTCATCGTCTAAATCAGCTGATGAAATCTATGCAATTTGCAAAAACGCAAACTTCACTACAAAGTTTTGAATAGTGTTATCCAATGATCAGAATTGAAATTCAACAAATGATTTTAATTTTATGGCTAATTAAATTAGCCCTTGATTTTAAAAACGTTAATGGAAACTTTTGTAGAAAGATTCAAGATGCATATTTTATACAGAAATGGTTGCAAACATTTTTATCGACTTCAAATAATACTGAAACGCCTCATCACGATGCTTGTATTTGATTGACTGCTTTTTGCCAATGAAGCTCCAGTTTCAGAAACATTGATTTCGCTCTGTTTAGTGCATGAGATTTATCAGTTGCACAAATTATTTTGCCTCAAATCAATTTAAAACGTTTGTTACTCACGCTTACTCGTTAGGCAGCAGCATAGAAAATTATAAAAATCTCATAATCTTTTCAATACTTTGATCAAATTGACCAATTTTTTTATTTGGTCAAATTGACAACAATTTGGGTAAACTTTTTGTCGACAGAATTTTGCCCAAACTGCTCGCAGGTGAAATATATATTTTTTTCAGATTTGAACGCAAGCAGACGGTATTTTCAAGTAGGCAATTAAAATTAAAAAGCTGTTTAGTCGAGCACTATTCTAGACGTTTTGTCTACATTCAAATGGCTTCAATAATTCAGAAATTTTTTCAAGTGGTTGTTTAAGCAAACATAATGTTTAATTGAGGCATAAATAATCAGTCGAATTTGCAGAATATATTCTGTTTTCTCTGTTTTACACAATTATACACAATCTGTTCAATTGCTTACTCAAAACTGTTGATTTCAAAAGTAATTTTGGATACGTAACAAAAAGTAGACAAATCGTAAAGTAAACACGTCAAAAATTACAAAAACACTATTTCAAAATATTAGAATTGAAGAGAAAAAGCAAGCTAGGAAATAAATAAGGAATACTAATTTGTTTGGGGGCGTTCAACTATGCCGAATTACAATAGTGCCGAAAAAGGCAGGAAAATTTCAGAATAATTTACACGCATTTTCTAAAGAGCGAGAAACTACTGACGCTAATTATCAAAAACAAAAACACTCCAATTTTGGCGCCAAATGTCTGCAACTGTAAATTAAACCTTTATTTTGGCGCCAAAACGTCTAAATTGCTTTTTTTCTCTCCCAAAATCATTAAGTGCCACTTAAGATTGTAAACGTTCGCCATTAAATTTTTGTTTGTCGCACTTAATATGTTGAAATTTGTTCATATTTCTGGCACTGTTGAACAAAGTTTTCATTTTCGACACTGTTGAACTAATTTTTTTTCCGGCACTGTTGTACTTCGGCACTGTTTTACTGCCCTATTTGTTTGCTAAGTTTTCTTTCTATTCTCAATTCTGATTGTTACCATAGTATTTGTTATTTTTTGACGAAATAAAGTTGTCTACTGTTAGGACAGTACATTAGTGCCGGAGTACAATATTGCCGAAAAACAAAAAGTTGTTCAACAGTGCCAAACACTAACTTTATAAATGTTTTTGTTTTCATCTAAATCACTGACAAGTAATTATTTTCAAATGGACAAACGTTGAAAAGAAAAAAATGGCCATTTAAATAAGGCGCTTGTTAAACAAACTGTACTCTTCCAATTGCGGCGTCATGAATTTTTCTGAACAAACCTTTTTCTCAACAAAATTATTAAGTTCTTAGGGCTGTAAAAAAAGCAAGAGTGCGTTCCAAAAGCAGAAAATTTTTATTTCACCCCGCTAAAAAGTTGGCAAATACTATATTAACCGAAAACTGGATACTAAATAGCCATGCCAAAGTGTTCATCGAATTCTTTCAAAAACACGATGTTTTGTTCTTCCTTCTAGAATTGCAATTTTAGTTACAAAAAGCCCGCAATAACACGTAATTTAAGCTAGTAAAAACTTACACTTTCTTATCTGTATGCTTTTCAAGTCATAAAGTAGACACGTCATAAAGTAGACAACGAAAATATTAACCATTCAGAATCGAAAACAGAAAGCAAACTGAAATAAATAATTAAAAAATATTTATTTCCTAGGTTTACTTCCTATTCTCGATTCTGAATGGTTAATATTGTCGTTGTCTATTTTATGACTTGTTTTTTTTTGCTACATAACCAAAAAAGCATACAAATAAAGTAACGTAAGACTTTGTTAAATTAAATTACGTGTTATCGCGGGCTTTTTCTAACTAAAATTGAAATTCTGGAAGAAAGAACAAAACATATCGTTTCTGAAAGAATTCGAGGAACAATTTGGCATGGCCATTTAGTAGCAGATGCATGACTATTTATTCATTTTCGCTATTTTTTTAACAAAAATTTTAAAAAAACTATGTCAATTCTTTTGAAAAAGGTTATTGCGATTGCTGAAACTGTTCTGATTTGAACATCATCCTTTGAAGACAGTGAGAAAAATTGCAATTACTTGAGCATTAACAACTTGAATATAAAGCAAACTGATAAAACCGTCAGTGAAAAAGATTGACCAGGGACTTGACTGGGCTTCAAGTTTTCAGACCAGTCTGATTGCAAGAAAATCATCAAGCAACTGCAAAAAAATATCAATCAAACAATTAATTAAATTTATTTGTTTACAAATAGTTTTATTTATTTTTGGTAATAATTGATGATATTCGACAATATGTACAAATTCAATAGGAAACTGATAACTGGAGTATGATGCTGTTTTCTACTTTTTTCCGGATTTTTATCCTATGTTGCTCTTAGGACGCTATTGAACCAAGTGACAAACAGGAGTTTGAATGACATCTGTGTTGAGTATTTCTAAAAAAAGCAGAGACGCCATTGTTACCGTTATTAGTTGCAAAAAAATTAGACATCGCCTGAAATGAATAAAATCATACTAAAGAGCGTTTGAAATTTGTAATTTAATTTTCAAACCTAGATACCATCTGCTTTTCTTGATAAATGCAATTCAACAAGTATTAACATCGTCATTTAATTCAAGTTACTGAAATTCTACAGCAAAAAAAAATATAAAAGGACATACTCTATGAAATTAGTTGAAGTGAAGGTATCCTATATCCTAAATACCAATATACGTGTTTTGACAAAAAGAATAATATTATCTTTAGCCATCATATCCCATATACCAAAATACCAAGAAAAAAATTATTTGGCATATCCGATGTTCTGTAGATCAGACGCATCAGAATAATTTCTAGTACATAAGAGTTTCATACCCATGTATTTGTCGGCCAGCTCCTGAGCTCCTTCGAACCCCTTCTCCAGTCTTTTGTCCCTCATCATGTACAGCTGGTACCTATTCTGGTCCTCCCAGTCCAACTCGCAGGTGCCATCGGCCGGCAACTGGGACCCCTCCTGGTCATACATCAGCGCACTGTTCCACGCCTGCTTGTTCAGCGCATACACGTCTCGATCTGCAGCAAATTACCAGCTACGGGTTTTATAAAAGAAATTACGAGGCCTATATATCGTGTAAATTCATTTCTTCAATTGAAGTTTGCGCGCGCTATAATTCATTGAGTTCGTAGCTAGGTAATAAGTCATCAAGTTCAGAATGAATTTTTCCGGTTATTCACCTTAAGTTGACTCATCAAAGAAAAAAACGAGAAACTGGTTGTTCAGCTCATTGCGAAACCACTATTGTACTCCTGGTTAAAATAAGATACATTTTCGTATTAACTTTTTAATTTTTGAGCAAATAACGTAATTGCATATAAAAAAACCGCTTGGTTAAAAAAACATGTTGCTCTTGAGAACTAAATACAACAAAACTGCATATATGAAAACAAAGCGCTAAAGTTTTTGACTGCCTTTTAACGCCGATGAAAAAATTTGCGATGAGAAAACAAAAAAATTATCTTGTTTTTTTTATTCTTATTTTGAGTTTTTCCCCTGCACAGGCAGATCTAAGACCTTTTTTCTATCACTGCCATGACCTTACTTTGACTAAAAACTTTGCACCGCAAGCAAAATTTTAGAAAACCAGGCCAAAAAGGGCGCGTCCAAAATTTTCTGGCCAAAATTTTCTCAAAAATATCGCTTAAAAACACTTTTTAGAAAATTTTGATCAAAAAAGTGCGTTTTTCCGTGCGCGTTCTCTCCTCAAAGTTAGTATATATTCGCGTCAAAAAGGAGACCCTTTGGGTAGGCAGGGGTCGAGTCTCTGAGAGGAAGGAAGGGCCCCCGACCCCTCCCCCATAAATCTGCCCCTGCCCCTACACGCCATGTAAATTCCAGAATGCTTTATTTTGCGTCTGCTAACGTAAAAAGAACAGTCTGTATCCGTTTAATGAAGAAATGTTTAACTTGCTGGTTACGCTTTAAAAGCACAAAAAATGTCGCGGGTTAATTATACAAAGTTTAGTTTTAGTGGTCAGGGTAGTCCCAAACTCAATCCCTTTTAAATTTTCACCTTTGGACATCAATATATCGCAGATGGTAAAGGAAAAATTGCCGAAATGGCTAGTTAAAAATCGAAAGTTGTCACGAGCAAAACTACCCGAGCACAAAAAACTCCATCATTTTTATCAAAAGTCGAAACAATTATCACGATAAATTGTAAGTCATTTCTTTACTTATACATAATTTACTTCCTCGAATTGTTGACATGATGATTGCAAAGAAAAATCTGGCGCGCTACAAAAATATTCCTCCAGGAAAAATTCAGGTATGACAAAACCCTTATTATATAAATTTTACTCAAGTTGAAAAATCTATAGACATTACCATAGACAAAAAAAAATTGTGTCAAAATAGCATAAACATTTTCTCACTTGTTAAAACCTGGGAATCTTTTTTATTTTAATACTAATTTCCACCGATTTTTTAAAATCTGTTGTAAAAAAAGAAATCAGAAAAGTTGAAACATATTCCGGACAAATATATTGTTTGTCGGGCAGAGAGTCACATGTAAATAATCTTTTTAAGATCATAGTTAAAATTATAAAACAAGGGGACAATAATAAATAACTTGGCAAATACATAACTGAAGAAAAGATAACAGCTGCCATTAAACCAGATGAAGCATTAAAAAATGTTGAAGCTGAAAGAAGCTAATTACAAGAGCAAAAAAATCAATAAGAGGGTTCATATTTGATATTATAAGTTTTAGCAATTAGAAGAAAATGTTTTTATTGAAGCGTTAAAAATTACAAATGACTTCTTGGACTTGTTTTTTCTCTAAATAAGAGACATCTAAATGTGTGACAGAGAACATTTTTCATGTATGTTGTGGCAAGTTTTCATTTGTTATATTTTTGTGATCTTATTTTAATTCCTAAACTACACCTAAATAACAAAAAATTTGCGTTGATTTTTGTTTTTCCCCCATTTTCACAGTGGTTTCAGCGGCGGTTTTTGGTTTCAGTGTATAAGGTGCAATTTAATAAAGTAAGCGGTTAGATTTTTGCTCATGAAGGCGCCACCCGACAAAAAGATGCCTTTTCGAAATTCCCCCAAGCCGAGCTAAATTGTAAAGAAACAAATTCATACCAAGTTTCATCATAAGTGTTAGGCTTAAAGTTATTATCAAAAAAACAATGAAATTATCAGAAAATTTAAATTATTATCAGAAAACATGTTGTTTCTGAACAGGAGAACACCTAAAAAATACTGATTCTTTGGAGGCTGCTCCTCACTTTATAGTTCCCAAGAACAATTTCCAACCCTTTATGAATTATTTCAAAGGCTGAGCAGTCACAAACTACATACTTTATTACAAGTCCTCGTGTAATAGTTGCGGTGTGGGAAATCAAACAAGATCCAAAAACTTAGACAACCATTGAGTGTCCAACAGATGCTGCTTTTATTTAATATTTGACGGGTAGCAGAGAAACTCACGCATGCAGACGGCCCAGTTGGGAAATGAGCATGTGAAGTCGTCCAAGCCCAAGTTGTCATATTGGTCCACAGTTGAGTGGGTGATCTTCTTTCTACACACACACGCCTCCCCTCCAAACTTGCCCAGAACTAAAAGAGTACTCACTTAGTTCAGTTATACCAATACATCTCTTCAAGGGTCGATGTTTTGAATTTATAATTTGACTAAAATGGTTGAAATAAGTGCAATAATTCCAGCAAAAATCTATATTCGCACAAGTCTTATTCTTGGGACTGAAGGTTGAAATATTGAAATTCAAAAAGTCGAAACATAAAATCAAATTGACTCGAAACGTCAAGCCCAGCCGAGTCGTAACCTAAAGCTAATGTTGTATTTTGTGGCTACCAGTGCTCAAAAACAAGACTGGTCGTATAGCCCTGATTGTTCCGACTGCCTCTAACTGGCCTTGAGTTGCTTTAAATATTGAATAGGTCCCGAATAAAAAAATGATAAACTTAAAATTTTTGTACTTCCAATGTCAAATTTAGGTGCCAAAGTTTGATAAGAAATATTATGACCAATTAGTTGGCGTCAATTCAACTGGGAACGATTATGAAAGCGGATAATTTGCACACAAAAACGATTAGCATTTTAAAACTATTAAGCAATAATCGAGCAGCTATCCCAACCGGATTGTAGTCTAGTGCAAGCCTACTCTCTTAGCTATCCAAAGGTTTCCGGATCGAAACGAACACGAGTTCAACTTTTGCTGTAATGGTATGATTATGAAAAACCACCACAAACTTCAACTCCAAACGTCAAGTCGGATTAACAAGATAAAAACCATAAAAAATGCATTTCAACTGGAATTCAATTACCGTCGAACTCATCTGCAAAACATCTGAAAAGAAAACTGGGAATTGATACGTATACTGGGTCCTTTTGATGTTTTTCTCTAGGAAAAAAAAAACGATTTTGCTCTATTTTTTGAAATGGCTCTTCCAGATTTCTTTTTAAAAGGGCACTTGGGTAACTCGGAAATTTTAAATTGAACTCTTAAGTTAATATATTTGTTCTTGACTGCGCGGAATTTTAGATTTATTCTATATTTTTAGACTGTTATAGTATGATTAATTGAAAAAAAATTTCTTCGACGCAACGCCAAACTTTTTCAACGCAACGCCAAATTTTCTATGGACACAGTGCTTACGCTATTTTTATAAAGGTAAGTGGTTAAGGGAAATTGTTAGCAAAGATAAGGTTTCAATGAAAAACTCTTAGAAAGTATCTTAGAAGTTTTTTAAATCTAGAACTTAGTTAAGTTTCAACTTTGACGAGAGTTTTTTAAAATCCAAATTCAAATGTTTGGAGCATATCTTTCGAAATTTTGAAGAACAAATCTTGAGTTTCGAATCATCATTGCCAAACTTTAAATGGCTCTCTTCAATTTTCTATAGCAATTCTTTGTGCAGTTAATTAATTCCTCTTTAAAGCCAGCAAGTACAAAAGTTTTTTTTTCTAATTAATTATTCTAATCACGCATATTAAATACGCAAGATGAAATTTTTGCAAGGAATGTTTTAGACTTTATGCGAAAGCTGGGGTTCTTTTAATTTTTACACATTAATGATGAAAAAAAGGATTTCAAGTAAGTTAATACTAGAAAGAAAAGCGGGATTTTAAATTGGGACAAAAAATAGGACCAAGCTTACATACGATTCAAGAAGAAAATATGATCTATAATGTCAACTACGTTCTCATTGAGAAACTCAGCCAATCAGAGTCAAATTAAATCCATATTAAACGCTGGGGAATTTTTAACTTGGTTTATCTGAGAAGAAGGAACAAGTTCATTTGATACCAAAAATGAAACAAGCTACTCATATATTTGAAAAAAAGAATGGGCAATAAGCCTAATGTTTTAAATTTTATCGAGCCTGTCGCTTAATTTTTTTAGAACAGTATTTCAGGGAAAAGACTCCTATCAATTTCCTGACAAAAGAGTACCAGCCAATAAAAGCAATTATCAACAAGGATAGCCGGTTGCTGAGCAAGAAGCACAGAATGCTCCGACTATATTAATCAAAAAAAATTGTCTTCAAAATAAGGTCGGTTTTAGTACTTGGTGTGACTTGTGAACTCTTATAATCTTAGTGAATTTAGTATGATCGATGAAATACATTTTCAAGAAAAAAAACGACACAAAAAAAAGAAAAAAAATGTTAAACTTTTCTAATCTTTTGTCACATTTTTTTTCTTTATTGCTTTTTGCCTAAATTATACATAGAAAACTATAATAAAATAAAGTTTTGTAATTTTCAATGGATTCGAATCACGACTGAAGGGGCTTGATTTGATATATCACTCGACCCATTCTTAAAATTTGTTGTGTTACCTGATTTAGAAAAAAAAAACTAAAATACATCCTAATAAAAAGTTCTTCCACATTTTAAATATTTGGAACAACAACGATCAATACAGTAAATTTTACCTTGCACTCTGAGATCAACTAGCAAACACGTGAAGCAGCATGAATAAAATGTTAAAAAATCCACACAAAAGTGCCGCTGTTCATCAGTAGGAAACTCCCAAACCTATTACTTTGGAAAAAATGCGAAATATTTCAAGTTGTTTTTATAGTCTTTTTAGTCGCAAAAACTTGCTCAAACAATCAAGCTTTACAATCAGTATACAAAGAAGCGAAGTTTCACTTCGCAAAAACTAGCAAGAGCATATCAAAAAAGCAGCTCTATAAAGTGCAATAAGAAAAAGTAGAAATAAGCCTGGAATTAGTTAAATTTCGGCAACGTCTCGGATTCTATCTCCGACCGATCGCAACCTAGGGTTGATGAATCCCACACACAAAGCTCTGAGCCACAAGCCTTAGTTGATCACAAACACTAGCCAAAAAAAAACAAAGAACAGATGCAATGAAAATTCCAATGGTAGAGAACGTGATTATAGCAAAAGTGCAACCAAATAAGTGAAAACTTTTAATTAACTCTTTCATTTGCGAGTTAGAAAAAAAAATAAGTTTCGTACTAATACACTACGCTGCTAGCCAGTGTAAAAAATATGAGTTATTGCAAATTAGTTAGTTTTTTATAAAAGCTTATATCAAATTGCAAACAGTAACAAAATAATAACTCAGTCTGGAATGCGGAGAAAGAGTAGCAAAATAGTTTGTCAAACTTTAATTGATAACATGCGATGAAAAGGTTCGAAATGATCATAGTTGGCGTCCTTTGGATCGGCAGGGGGTCAAATTCCTGAGAAAGAAAAGCGTCCGCCCCGCCCCAACCCCACCTCCCCCCTAAATCCTCCCCTGACTGGAGACATAATTGCTGAAGTACAGTTAACTAATGACAAGATTTTTAATCCAAATGAAAAATGATCAAGATAGTTCTTTCATAGTAGAAGAGACGAGAAATTATTTTTGTGTCAGTCGAGGTTTATTTTAAGTTCATACAAGAATGCTACAAAAAACCATTAGACTTACATCTTGAATGGTTAGTTTGATAGTAACAGAAGTATAAGTGTGATTATACTGAAAAATATTAGTAATCAAATTCATTTCATTAAAGATAATAGAAAGAGGGATTATACTGAAAGGTATAGTATACATATTTTTTTGTTACAGACTAACTTTCATCGTCCGGCTGTCCTGGTCTGAACATGGAGGTATCCATGGGAGCGCCGGAGATCATGTTGACGAAGGGGTTCTCGGTGTCACCGAAGTTGCGCAAGTATCCAGTCCAGAAGCCGGAGGCTGTGAGGAATGCCGGGCTGCTGGTGATGACATCTTCATACTTGGAGAAGAGGTGGTCCCGCACTATTTGCTGAAATCGTCAATTTAAGTGATTACTATTTACTTTTTGGAACTTTCCTGTTTAGTTTGAGGCAAAAAAGTAGTTTTTTGTTTATTTAATTGTTTTTTATATAATGAGAAATTTTTTTGTTTTTTTAATTTGGTGCAATAATTTTTTCAGACCTATCTTTTCATTTTAGTTAATAAATTGCAGAGTAACAAGAGTTAGAAAAAAGAAAGCACAAAAAAATTTCAAAAGCTAATTACTTTTTGGCATGCAAAATCCTGCTTTTACGAAAAAAAGTTGTGTCTCTAGAAAATTCAAAAAACAATCGTAGAAATTGTATAGGTGTTGACAGGCTGCCTAATCTAACTAATTCCAACTTATTGTTCCGACCAGCACCTAGAGCTAGAAAAAGTATTTTGGCCAAGCATGTTTTTTCACATTAAACCAAGTCTCTCATTTTTGAAGCTTTTACTGTTGGATTCCAAAAAAGAAACAGAAAAAATTCACTTCAGTATCGAGAAAAACTGGTCAGAATTCTTGCGTTTCTCAGACCTATTTCCAGCATGCAATTAGATATAATGAATTAAAGAGAGGTTAGTAAGGCTACCAAACTATGTTAAAGATATGCTCATCTAATTTGGAACTCGATTTGAATGCATTCTTATTCACCAAAACACGGCAAAAAGGCGAAAAATTTTTAAATAATTTGTGTGTGTGTGTGCAATTTTGTGTTTTTAATGCTCCGTGAGTAAAAGTGATTGAAAAATTCTGAGCTGCTTGCACAGTGACCGGATACCTTTTACTCAAATCAAAGGCTTTTGATCAAAAGTCAATTTATTGTTTGTTTTTGCCATTAGAAGTTGATGATGTCATCAACACCTTAGTAATATTAGGACTTACGTCATCGCCGACATTGTCGAAGGTGACCAAAGTAGATCCCCCCTCAATTCCACAGGCAGTGACCGCCTTGTCCTGGCTCACTGGACCCAAGTCCTTCAAGAACTTGTAGCAGTGCTTCAGACCTGCAGAGAGAGAAAACTAGAGAGACGCGTTCCTATGATTGGGTATCTGTCCTTGGTTTTTCAAATCAGAATTCGAAATGTAAGAATTATCGAATGTTTTAATTTTTGGGCTTCTAGTTTTTGATGTTTCAAAGACAAAACGTTATTTTTACTTTCCTTATACGGAAGTTTTATGTTTCATCTAAATTCGACCTAAATTGCTACCGTATAAGTAAAAATAACAATTCGAAATAATTATATAATTTTTTAATTTTATAATCTGTTTTTTTTTGTATATTTGTGCAGAAGCTCTAAAACAAAGAGAAACAAGAACTTGAACTATTGTATGATAAATTACCGTCATCTTAGTTTTCGCGTCCCAGTAAACGCAGTCAGAGTGTATGATTAACCAGAGACACTTACCTGGAATTTTCTCGAAGCCTCCGGTACATTCTGAAATAACAAATTTGAAACTAACATATAGGGTAACTTATTGACGAAAAAATGATTGTAATTTTGAGGTTGTCTTACCTTCTGTACACGGCAGTTTTTCTTCACTCCTAAACACACAAAAAAGATCTTTGACTAATTCGATAACCGAAGTGATTTTTCGAATATCGGGCTTTTTTTCATGTCTGACGCAGCATTATAACATCAGCATTATAACATCATTATAACAGCATTATTTGTGCTTTTTTTTACTGTAAAATGGTTAATTTGTCCTTGAAAAGTTCTAAAAAACAATCAGCTCCGTATTTTTGCCAATAATTGCCTGCAAAAATGCAAAAAAATGCATTTTTGCAGGCAATTATTGGCAAAAAATACGGAGCTGATTGTTTTTTAGAACTTTTCAAGGACAAATTAACCATTTTACAGTAAAAAAAAAAGCACAAAACACAACCCCCCCCACCCAATGTTAAAAACTGATATCATCGGAAAATTCTCACCAAACAGCCCCGATGACTGCAAGAAGAACGACGACACCCGCAGAGGTCCAGGCAAGTTGAAACTTCATGATCGAATAAACTCAATAAGCAGAGATGATGAAAATGGAGAACTGAATTCAAAGTTGATTTAAAATGGTCTCTAATTTGAGATGAGAACTTTTTATTGTTTTTGCATCAATATATCTGCCAAAAAACATAATTACCAACGAGCTGTGACTTGTTTCATGAAGACAAAAAAGCTGCGAAAATTAGAATGCTCAACTGCTGAGTTTTGTTCGCACCAACTAGTTAAATTCTGAGCTCCCAAAATCAAGAGTATCATCCATTTAACTGATTTTTTTCATTTTATGTATTTTCATTTTTTCGTTTTGACTGGCTTTGTCGACTTCAAGAGCCGAGGCTTCACAGTTTAACAAGGCGAAAATTGAACTGAAGTAGTTCGCTGCATTTTATTTCTAGCACCAGTTTTGAATCAGTCGATTTGACAATCTTTAGCATGAGCTGCATTGAAGCAGCTCTGTTTTTTGCTTCGTTTGAATATTAAAAAAGAGAATTTTTTAATTACGACTGAAAACAAAGAAAGCTAGCAGAAAAATGAAACTATGAATGTTCCGACAGACAATTAAAGGAGGGCGGATCTAAAATTTTCCCGAAAGGAGAGGGACAACCTTAAAAACAAATCCAAAGTTTTGACCTTTTTCTAGGTCGACCAAATTGTTAAAACACCATAAAGATCCTGTTTTGATAACTCTTTGCTGCAGACAAATTTTTGAAAAAAAAAAACATGCCAAAAAACCGTTTTTCGGAACTTTTTGAAAGGTTTTGGTTTTGACCAAAAAAAATTTTTTTTCGGCGCGCACACTTAGGCTCAAAATTAGTTTAAGATAGCGCCAAAGGCGCTTTTCGAAAAATTACAGGGTCGACCGGCCAAAAATAGAAATTAAAATGTACCAAAAAGGGATACTTTGGGTGGTGAGGTGTCGAATTTCTGAGAAGGGGGCACTCGCACCCCGTCACTCCTCCAAAAGACTTCCATGTTTGGTGCTTTGTTTTTGATAAACTCCAAAGCCCACTAGCCAAATAATTTTCATAAAATCAGGCGGTACTAAGATAAACAGGAGCGAATATAGGATTTTCTCGAGGGGGGGGACCAAATTGATTTTCCGAGCAATCACAGAACACTATAAAAACCCAATTTTGACAAAACAATTTGTGCCGCAGGCAAATTTTTTGAAAAAGCAGGTCAAAATGCCGTTTTTTGGCACTTTTTGGGAAATTTTGAGCAAAAAAATTGCGTTTTTTCCGCGCGCGCTCCCCTTCATAATTGGTATTTATTGGTGCCTAAAGCAGCTTTAGAAAAATTTTAGGATTGATCGGCTTAAAATGGATCCCATAAAAAACACCCAAATAATACCCTTTGGTTGGTGAGCGGGAAACATTTTTGAGACCCCCCTCCGTCCCCAAATCCGACCGTGAAAATAGATAAGTGTTTTTGCTGAAGATCAGTTCAGTTTTTCAGTACAACGAAAAAACTGGTACAGGAGAAAAAACAATTATCTTTTTTGGGAAACTGAATTAAAAGTCTACTCTATACCCTATATTATGGTGTAAGGAAAAAGCATGGTGTTACGACAATTTGGCCGAGCGATTGTTCTCATTATCTGCAACCTTGGAAATCAGATAATGTAAGTGGGTATAAAACACTGGAAGTTTTAGTTATCCATTTTAATCCGCGCGCTTTAATTATCCTTAATTGGCCAAAATAGTCCCAAAATCAAACCACCCTAACTTCATGAAAACAAAATCGCAGATAACCATAAGTGAATTTTCTTTTTCAATTTGATATCAAGACATTTATATCTTTAAGGTTGTAGAAAAAATCTGCCGAAAATTGCTACTAAGTTGAGATTTGTCTGGAGAAAAACACGAGAACAGAATGTTCGGTCATTATTTTTGAAACGCAAGATGACAATAATGAGGGCATCAATACGAAGCCCTTGAAACTTTTAACTGCCAAAAAAAACATCAAATTTTTTTATGCCACTAAATTTTGATAATTTATCAAGTGAGTTCTTGAATTTTGTTCGGTATACTTCTTTCCGCTTCTTTTGCAAGTCAAACACTAACAAAAGTTTTTGCCTAAGGAGAGGTCATCTTTATTGATTTTAATCAAAATTGGAGATAATTATGAGCAGTTTAGCGCTTAAAATATTAAGCACAGAAGCAAACTTTTATCTTGCACGCAATTGACAATTCAGCGAATTTGTCTAATAAATAGTCTTGAAAGAATTTTATTTCTTATTCAAAGACTAGCTTGCGCAAAAAAGCCGGCCTTAAAACACAGACAACAAAAAAAAACAGACAAGACTGCTCGTATCAGGGCGAAGCCCTGAATGTGCTGACTGCCTTTTAAGGTCTACAGAGCTGTAACATCTTGAAAAAGATAAATGTAATAAACATAAGAAGGAGTTTTTTAATTTGAGATTTTTTTGTGAAAATTCTTTCCCATAACTTTCGGAAAAATGATGATAAAATATCCTTTCAAATTTAAGCCCAGGACAGCAATACCTTTCGAATGATGTCAAAACGTTTGGTCCAAAATGGCTTGATAAAAAGTCGAAATTTGTCTAGACACAAAAAAAAATACCCCGAGCACAAATATTTTGTTACTTTCGCTACGAGAATCGGAACAAAAATATAACTTTTCGAGAAAAGTAAAATGAAAGATACTCTCCAAAAACTGAACAAATTAAACAAGAGTGATCGTATCGGGGCGAAACCCTGAATGTTTTGGCTGCCTTTTAAGGTCTATGGAGTAGTGATAACCTGAAGAAACTAATTGAAAAAATGAAAAACTAAATTAGAGATTTTTTGTTAAAATCCTCCCCCCACACGCAAGTTTAAGTACAAAGTGATACGTTTTGCTCCTAGTAAAAAATCAATAATTACAAAAAAAACCAATTTGGGACAATTACTCAGACGGATTATTTTCCTGCTATAAGCAACAGGATGTTTATTGTTTAAAAACTAGAGAAAGACAGAAATCAGTTAAGAAATTTATAAAACTCAGATTTGGTAAACTTTGCCTTATCTCCCGATTTTGCCTTATCTCAAATTTGTAGGCATTTGAACATTTTGATTTTTCAGGGTTTTAAGGTTTTCTTAATTTCAAGTAAAATTTTTGCTAAAAACTGACCCAAAAAAAGATTTACGAAATGCATAAATTATGGTAATTAAATGCAAGCTAGTACGCGCTATCGTCTTCCGCCCCTAAGGGAGCGATAACTGGTGCAAGTTTTATGGTCGGTCGGGTGTACTCGCTGGCTGCCGATCTTACTACAGCGGATCGCGCTATGCCCTCGTTCCCATAATTCAACGACTTGACTCTAGCTAACGGGTGATGGCCTCTTGGACTATTGTCCTCAATCATCCAAACGAGGTCTCTTGTGTTTAAGTGTGACTCTGGAAAAGAAAAAACATTTTTCTCATTTGTTCAGTGTTGGTACGTACTCACGGAGCTAACGAGTTCAGATGGCATTTGCATAAGATTGCGTTCGGGCGTAGCGCTTACGATGGTTGAAACTTTGCTCGATATCTAGAGGTTGAAAGCTACTTCCCCGGGGTTCAAATAAGAAGTGATTCGGCTTTAAGGCTTCAAAGTTGCTTGGACGGTTGTTTAGAGAATGCTCATCTATGCATAAGGTGGTTACGAGGACTTCTTTAGCGAGATTTTCCTGTTCCGAGAATCTCATGGAACACACTTTTTTCCACGATGAGGCGCACTGGGTGGATTAATTTCCAGATTCGGCCTTCATGAGCAAGCTGAACGTGCGCATGTCGGTTCCAGTTCGCAATGCATGAAATCAGATCTTTGGCCGAGCTAACAAAATTCCTACCATAATCGGACCTGATAACGTAAGGCGGTCCTCGCCGAGCAATGAAGCGTTCTATGCCCATCACACAAGAATGCCTACTGACGAAGCAACTTCGAGATGAATGGCACGTTTCGTCATATACGTGAATAATAAGCCCCAAAGTTTCTCTGCGTTTCGTCGAAACTTTAAGTGGAAGGGATCGAAGTAATCGACTCCGCAGTTCGAGAATGGTGGTTGTCGGTAACCTAGGCACTCGAGCGGAAGATTAGCCATCATAGGCGTAATTACTTTAAATTTTCGTTTCTAACCTAACACGAAATGATGTTCAATTGAACGGAGGGTAGTACGGAGCCCCAATTCAACATAATTTGATTGTTCAACAGCACGCAGATATTCAACACTTTGGTGATGATTGCTTTTGCGAAAAAACGTTAGTAGCATTATTACGAGTAGACGTCGGCTATCTGAAATGATGGGACGCTTAAACTTGAAATTAACAGAGGCGATAAAGCGAATACGACCAGTGGAACGAACTAGACAACCGGGACCGCTAAACTGTAAGAGGCGAAAGAAGCTATTCGGCTAGACTTATTATTGGACTGTTTAGTGTGAAGTGCGTTGACTTCGACAGGGAAAGACCCTGACTGAGCCAGAACCAATAGTTTGCGCTTCACTAATTCTAGCCCAGACGGATCGGTTATAGAACGAGTGTTGCGATTTTAACGGCGATGAGGTGATAATCTTAACCTAAATGCGACGATTTTTTGGAGCTTTGGAAAAAAATTTTCCAGACAAAAAGTGTACCAGTGAAGATCCTTTGAGTCGAATGCTCGTGATAACTTCTATGTCAGGTTTGAAAGGCCAATCACTAGTTTTCACAAAGACTGTACCTTCCACCCAACCACTTTCTTTCAGTGCCTCAGCAGTTATTCCGCGGGTATTGGTATCCACTGCAATATCGCCACTGAACATATGTAACCATTCATCAATTGTGATGGTTTCGATAATTTCGGAAACCCAATTAGCCACAAAGACAGGTAACTGGCTCGTAGAACTCAACCATTGCAGCACAGTTGTACTATCAGTCCACATGAATGGTTTTTTGATAGAGAATGTTAACGATTTCTCGAATTCAATTCTCAGACGACTCACCAGTAAGGCCGCTTGCAACACAAGCTTGGAAACTGAAAGAGTTTTCATCGGCGCTACTCTAGTTTTTTCAAAATTAAAAGCAATTTTGGCTTCATTTGTGACGAAGCAGCGACTGCGCAGGAAAGCAAAGGAAAAGAAGATCTGTCACGAAACATATGCAGTTCTATTTGATCAACCATGGTGTCAAAGTAACAGGGAGAAACTGTTTTTTGGCCAGTTATTGATAAACCAATATACCTTTCATGAAATTCTCCTGAAGCT